CTATAATTAAAAATCGAAACATTAAAACAACGAAAATTGGGAAATCGAAAAACTTAAAAATCGGAAAATTGAAAAACTGAGAAATTGAAAAATTGAGAAATTGAAAAAGCGATGAATTGAAAAAGCGATAAATTGAAAATTTTCACATTGAAAAAAAGAGAAATTATGAAATAAGAATACTGAAAAACTAAAATTAAAAAAATTAAGAAAAAAAATCCAAATCGAAAAATCCGTAAGTCGGAAGGTCGAAAACTAGCAAAATGGGGAAATAGAAAATTAAAATTTTAAAAATCTGAAAATTGAAGAATAGAAAACTGAAAAATCGTAAAACTGGAATATCAAAAAATCGAAAAAACGAATAATTCAAAAATCTAAAAATTCTAAGAATAAAAAAAATCGAAAAATCGGGAAGTAGTAAAGCCCAAAAGTTGAAATATTCAGAAATTCAAGTATCTCATAGTCGAAAATTTGAGACACCGAAAAATCGAAAAATCGAGAAAAATCGAAGAATTGAAAAATCTAGAAATCGATATATTTCTTGAAAAATTTAAAATTAAAATTAAAAAAATCGGAAACTTGAAAAGTCGAGAAATCTAAAAGTCGAGAGATCTAAAAATCGAAACATCGGAAAGTCGAGAAATAAAAAAATCAATAAAACTGAACAATCGATGATCGGGAAACTGAAAATTTGCAAAACCAGAAAAATGGAAATCATAAAGCCAAAACACCGAAAAATTTAAAAATCCAGCCATTCCAAATTTGAAAAATCGAGAAGTCGAAAGATCCAAACAATCAAATTTAAAAAATCGAAAAATCGGAAAGTCTAAAAGTCTGAAAATCGAAACGTCAAAATTTCGCAAAATTGAAAAATCGAAAAATAGAATATCAAGAGAATTCGAAAACTATAAATAAATCGAAACATTAAAACAACGAAAAGTTGGGAAATCGAAACATTTAAAAATCGGAAAATTGAAAAATTGAGAAATTGAAAAAGCCATAAATGGAAAATTTTCACATTGAAAAAAAAAGAAATTATGGAATCAGAATATTGAAAAACTAAAATTGAAAAAATAATGAAAAAAAAATTAAAATCGATAAATCCATAAATCGAAAGGTCAAAAAGTCGCAAGATAGAGAAATTGAAAATTAAAATTTAAAAAATATAAAAATTTTAACAATAAAAAAATCGAGATATCTGGAAATAGCAAAGCCCAAAAAGTTGAAATATTCAAAAATCCAAGTATCGCATAGTCGAAAAATCGAAATATCTCCAAAAATTTAAAATTAAAAGTTAAAAAATCGGGAAATATAAAAATCGAGAAATCTAAAAATCGAAACATCGGGAAGTCGAGAAATAAAAAAATCGATAAATTGGAAAATTGAAAACTTTGTTATTCGAGAAATCGAAATATCAAAAAATCGAGAAATCGAAAACTAAAATTTAAATATGTACTGAAAAAAATTGAAAAATCCCTAGACTGAAACATAGAAAATTGAAAAATTGAAAAATCAAGAAATCTAAGAATCGAAAGATCGGAAAATTTAAAAGTCGAAAAACCAGAAAAATGGAAATCGTAAAGCCGAAAAATCGAGAAGTCGAAAAATCAAAACAATCAAAGTTAAAAAATCGAAAAATCGGAAAGTAAGTAGAAAAGTCTGAAAATCGAAACGTCAAAATTTTGCAAAATTGGCAAATGGAAAAATAGAATATGTCGAGAAATCGAAAATTAAGTATAATTGAAAAATCGAAACATTAAAACAACTAAAAGTCGGAAAATCAAAAAATTGAAAAATCGGAAAATTGAAAAATTGAAAATTGGAGAAATAGAAAATCTAGAAATGGAAAACTAAAATTTACATAGTGGAAAAATTGCAAAATTCATAAACTGAAATATCGAAAATTTGAGTAATCGAAAAACGGAAAAGTCGAGGAATCGAGAAATCGGATAATTGAAAATATCGAAAAACTGAAAATTCAACAAATCGAAATACCAAAAAATGGAGAAATCGAAGACTGAAGTTTAAATAGTGAAAAAAGTGAAAAATCCTTAAACTGAGATATCGAAAAATTGAGAAATTGAAAAATTGAAAATTCGGAAAAACGAAAAATCGAAAGATGGAGAAATCCAATAGTCGAAAAACGAGAAAAAGAAAAATCGTAAAGTTGAAGAAAACCGAAAAATTTAAAAATCCAGCCATCCCAAAGTCGAAAAGTCGAGAAGTCGAAACATCAAACAAATCGAAAAATCTTGAAGATTAAAAATCAAAAAATCGAAACATCAAAGTTTCAAACAATTAAAAAATCGAGAAATCCAAAAATAGAATATCTGGAGAAATCAAAAAAGTCGAGAAGTCGGAAGATCAAAAAATCGAAACTTCAAAATTTCGAAAAATTAAAAAATCGAACATCTGGAGAAATCAAAAACTAAAATTAAAAACTCGAAACACCGAAAAATCCTAAAAGTGAAATGTCGAAAAATTGAAAAGTTGAGAAATCGGAAATCCGAGAAATCTAACAATCGAGAAATCGGAAAATTAAAACAACGAAAAGAGGGAAAATAAAAAAATTGAAAAATCAAAAAAGTGAAGAACTGAATATTAGAGGAATCGAAAATCGAGAAATTGAAAACTAAAATTAAAATAGTGGAATAATGGCAAAAATTCCTAAACTGAAATATCGACAAATTGAAAAATCGATAAATTGAAAAATTGAAAAGTTAAGAAATCGAAAAATCGGGAAATCGGGTAATTCAAAAACCTGGAAAATCGGAAAGTCGAAAAGTTGAAAAATTGAAAATCGAAAAATCGAAAAACCGAAAATCGGAAAAATTGAAAGATCCAAAATTTGATAAATCGAAACATCAAGAAATCGAAAATTTTCAAAGTCGGTAAATTGGAAATCGAAAAACCCGAAAATCTAAAAATCTCGAATATTGTAGGTTTGGAAATTCAAAAGTCGAAAAATTGAAAAATCGAAAAGTTGAAAAGTTAAGAAATTGAAAAATCACGAACTCGGGTAATTGAAAAATTGAAAAAACTGAAAAATCGAAAAATCGAAAAATTAAAAATCGAAAAACCGAAAATCGGAAAAATTGAAAGATCCAAAATTTGATAAATCGAAACACCAAGAAATCGAAAATTTTCATAACGGCAAATTGGAAATCGAAAAACCGAAAAATCTAAAAATCTCGAATGTTGTAGGTTCGGAAATTGAAAAATAGAAAAATCGAAAAATCTGGAAATAGGAAAACCGAAAACTCGGAAATTGAAGGAATCGAGGAATTAAAAAATCGGTACACTGTGAAGTTAAATAGTTGAAAAACCAAAAAATTTAAAAATCGAGAGATTGAATATTGAAAATATCGAAAAGTCGAAAAATGAAAATCTCAAAAGTTGAAAAATCGATAAATGGAGAAATCGAAAAATCGGAAAATCGCAGATGAATAATTCGAAATTCGGAAAATGAAAAATCGAAAACTCTCAAATTTTAAAATCTGGAAAATCGTCAAATCGAAAAACCAAAAACTAGAAAAAAATCAAGAAATCGAAAAATTGAATAGTCGATAAATCGCAAAGTCGGAAAACCAATAACTCGAGAGATCGAAGTTACGAAAAATCGAAAAATGGAAAACTAAAATTTAATAAAACGTCGGAAAACTGAAAACTCCCTCAACTGAAATAGGTATCGATAAATTGAGAAATCGAAAAATCGAAAATCGCAATATCGAGAAATTGGAAATTCGGAAAATCGCACTCGGAATATTGTAATTCAAGAAATGTGATAGTTTAAGTTGAAAAATTGAAGAATTGAAAAACCCCAAATAAAGAAATCTAGAAGTCGGGAATTCGAAAATTGGAGAAATCGAAACATCAAAAAATCTAAAAATCGAAAAATATCAAATTTAAAAAATTGAAAAGTTGTAAAATCAAAAAACTGGAAAATTGAGGAATCAAAAAATCATGGAAAACGAAAAGTCGAAAAATGTAGAAATCGAAAAATCCTAGTGGGAAGAATTTCAAATTTTAGAAGTCGATAAATTGAAAAACTCCAAAACGAAAGCATACATCTAAAAATTGAGAAATCGAAAAATCGAAAAATCGATAAGTGGAAAAATCTGAAAATCGAAGTCACAAAATTGAAAAATTGAGAAATCCAGAAATCGAAAAATCGGAAAATTGAAAAATCAATAAGTCGAAAAATGAAGAAATTGAGTTAATGAGAAATTGAAATGTCTGAAAATCGCGAACTCAAGAAATACAACCAAACTAAAATTTAAAAAATCGAAAAATCCCAAAACTGAAATATCGAAAAATTGAGAAATCAAAAAACTGAAAGGTCGAGAAATCGAAAAATCGAGACATCGAAAACCTGGGAAATTTAAAAATCAAGAAATCGAAAAATCGAAGAATTAAAACATCGAAAATCGAATAATTTAAAAGTCGAAAAATCGAAAACAGAAAAACTGAAAATTCGGCAAATCGAAAATGGCGAAATCGAAAATTAAAAAAAAAACACGAGAAAACTGACAATTTGTAAATTTAATTACCCTGTATGAAAAATTGTTTACATTTGTTTCCCGTATACATAATAAAGTAAAGTGACCAACAAATCCGACTGAATATTAACAAAAAGGAGAGGGGACATAAATATAACTAATAAAAATAATGAGTGCCGTAAACGAAACAACAGAAATATAATAAGAATATATACTAACAATGAACAACATAGCAAAGAAAAATATCTAGAAACAATAAGAGAATACAATGTCTAATAAGTATTTAGTGTTGCATAACTACATATTCTGGGTCTAATACAAAACAAAACAAAAAAAAAACTTACACCTTCTAAGAACTAGAATAATACCTACGATCCATGTACACTTAAATTAAATATTTATAACAAACATTTACACACAATCAATCCAGCGATGATTATCTCCACTAGACGACTAATAGGTCACCTTATCACACTCTCATATTTACAAACGACGTTACTTGCAATGACAGAACCACGTCTATTTGCACTCACCACCTTATTCAGTGCCTGTTTCTGTTCCAGTAACTTCAGTTTCCAAAACGTCACCATCAAATGGACCCTACAAACCCACCAATACGTCACACCCGGAAAACCCACCAACAACCTCAAGGAACTGTTTCCTGAAAACGGAGTAACCGATGGACTCACCACCGTCTTTATCAATGGATCAGTTAACACTCTTTATCAAAATTCTGTGACAGATATACCCGATCTAGCCTGTTTGGACATGACTCGTGTGAATTTACAAAAAATAGAACCCGGTGCTTTCAAGAAGTTGCCAGTTTTGAGTCACTTGGATTTTGGGGAGAATAGCCTTGAAGAGATTCAAAGTGGTACTTTTGTTGATTTACAATCGTGTCACTACATCAATGTTTCAAGTAACCAGATTTCAGTGCTTGAGGTTGGTGCTTTCAGAAATTTATCAAATTTGAGTAGGTTGTATCTATCCAAGAACAAGATTGATAAAGTAGAGAGAGGGGTTTTTGATAACGTGACAGTGCGCATTTTGGACTTGTCTCAGAATGTAGTGAGTAAACTTGAGGATGGGTTTCTGGACAACGTGTTACCTGTGAAGGGGTTGAATGTATATTTGGTACTAAGTGACAATAAACTAGAAGAAGTGAATCCACGGGTTTTTAACCACAGTTACATCACACATCTATACTTGGCTAACAATTCAGTTTCAAGTTTGCGACTAGGAGATTTTCAAAATTTACCAAAACTGGAATATTTGCAACTACGTGGTAACAAACTGGAGAACATTGAAAACGTGTTCAACAATATGAAGCTCATCAGTCTGGATTTAAGCCACAACGAAATTTCCTTCATTGCTAGTGATGCTTTCAGAAATATGACCAAACTGAGAATCGTTCGACTAAACCACAACAAAATCAAGTTCTGGGATAACAACTGGTTTCAAGACTCTGAAGCCATAACAACAATATTTGCTTCTAATAATTTGATTGGAGAACTTCCAGAGAAAGCGTTCAAAAATTATCAGAACACGTTCTCGATTGACTTGGCAGCTAATAGAATCGAAAATATCAAGGACCTGGCTTTCTATAACCCCGAAAGGGGGTTTACAAGACTCCACTATTTGATTCTCCGTGACAATCTTATCCAGAAGTGGAACAAATTTTTGCTGGTCAATCGAGCCAATATCACTGTGTATGGAATCGACCTGAGGAAGAACAAACTTGAGTGTTTTCAAGGCAGTGTAAATGATAATTTTGGAAAAGTCGAAGTGGTGTGGCTTAGTGATAACGCGTTTGGGGCAAGTTGTGGGATCGAAATTGAGCAATACGTTGATAAACATAAAGCTTATCACACTCCAGAAGAACTGGAAGAAGAAATGATTTATTAAAACTAGTGTAGCTGGAAATTAAAACATAAATGTCAATTTGAGTCTGTATTGTGTGTTGCCTAATCTAACCTAAAAAGCGGGCCCTCTTTTAACAACCTATTACAAAAATTTACTCACAACCACAATAAATACTGAAAAAAATATGTCCAACCCTAACCCATTTCCTGAATTTTCTAACCCGAAAGACGACTTCTCCAAACTTAAACCAATCTTGTTCATCGAAGTCCACTTCTTCAATTTTTTCAGTGTTTCGTGGTCAAAGTTGTCTTCCACCATTAACCTAGCAATAGCAAAGTTTCCCAAATGCAAGTCGCCGATCAAAGTGTGGATTTGATTGCCTCTCAAATCCACACTCTCATATTTACTCTTGTGAAAAATGTTCACCGAAAGCACTTTTAGCGAAACAGAACGCATAGCAAGAACTATGAGCACAGATGTTTCTTGAAAAAGACTTTCGTTTAAATAAGTCATACTATTGTTGTTTAGATACAACAAAAATAGGTTCATTTTCGTGAACTCAAGTGAAAACTTTTCCACACGTTTGATTCTGTTGTCGTCTAAAAACAGGCTATGTACGTATGGTAAGTTACAAAAGGCCTTTGGATTTAAGACAGATAGTTTGTTTCGAGATAAAATTATTGTTTCTAGATTGGCCAGGTTGACGAATGCTGCGTTTTCTATTTCTTCGATGTTGTTGGAAGGTAGATACAAATAAGTGAGTTCAAGAGCTTTGAAAGTGTGTGTTTTAATCCGTTTGATGTTGTTCAATTCTATATTTAAAGCGAAAACTTCTTGATCTTTTAGAAAATCGGGTTCTAAGTCGTTTACACTCGAATTTATGATGTTCAACCTGTCTACAGCAAACGAAAGATTGAACAAATTTTTACATAATGTTGTAATTGTATTGTTTTTAATATTTATGGTGTTTACGTCTTCTGAAATAGAAACGGTAGAATTGGTGAATTCTCTATAAACGGAGTTATAGTCTTTCACTTGATAAGTAATTTTATCTGTCGAAAAGTTGCTGCAAAAAGAAATCGATTTTTGGAACTGACACAACAGTAAAAATAAATGCAAGAACATTTTAGAAGTCGCAGTAGTTTGTAACGAATACACTGAAAATAATTTTAATACATTTCGGATGTTCTAGAATATACTTATCAAACTAATGCGTTTCTTATGTCCCAAAATGTGTGTTTCCAAATACCTAGTAAGTGCTTTGCAACAAGTTTTCTGTTGAGTGTTGCAACGCTTTGAAGGCGTGAGAAAGTCGTCTAAACGGTTTTTTTACGTACACTTAACGCATAGGAATAAAGGTCTAATAAAAATGGACGCTGTATTTAAGTAAAAACGTGAAGAAATGATCAATTATTAAGTTATATTTTTTAATACATAATTCAAAGTTTTCTTTACGATATGCAGTTGCGTATTGTGTGTTGCCTACTCTCCAAACGTCGCCACTTCTTGTATAACAACATTTTACAAATTAACTTTGAAATTGCAAGACTGAATGCTCAGAAATTCGGCAAAAAATCAAAAGTTAATGACATCATCTCCCCCAGAAGTTAATGACATCATCTTACAATTTTGTTAAATAAATATTGTTTAAATGTTATGAAATAACATGCTCCTGAATTTCTGGTTTATTAATTCGTGTTAAAATTTTGTCCTAGACATGGAGATTTTTGGAAAAAAAGTCAAATTTTTCAATTTTTTTGCTTCTCCATTTTTCGATTTAAGTATGGATTTTTCAGTGTTTCTACTTCTCAGTTTTTCAATATTTTACTTTGGTTTTTTCTCGATTTTTCGACTTTTAAAATTTTAAATTTTTCGTGTTTTCGTTTTCGGAATTTTGAATATTCCGCTATGATTTCTCAATTTTTTTATTTCTTTATTTTTTGAGTACTCCATTTTTCCGCTTTTCGATATTCCGATTTTTCGATTTCACGATTTTTCTTTTTTTAGTGTTTCGACTTTTCGATCTCTCGGTTTCTCCATTTTTCGATTTTTTGATTTTTCGATTTTTCGATTTTTCGATTTCTCGATTTCTCGATTTCTGAATTTTTCAGTTTTTGGAATATTTTCAATTCTTCATTTCTTCGATTTTTTAATTTCCAATTTTTTCAATTTTTAGATTTTTCAGGTTTTTGATTTTTTAGTTTATTCGATTTTGTAATTTTTCGATTTTTGGACTTTTCGATTTCTCGATTTTTCAGTTTTTAGATTTCTCTATTTTTCGATATTTCAGCTATGGGATTTTCCAATTATCTGATTTTTGACTTTCTGATTTTTCGATTTTTAGATTTTTCCACTTTTTAATTTTTTAGCTTCCCCAACTTTCGATTTTTTGTTTTTACGATTTTCAGACTTCTCGATTTTTTGATTTATGAGTTTTTCGATTTTTCAATTTTTCGATATAAAATTTCTGATTTCTCGATTTTCAGTGTTCCAAGTACGATTTTTCGACTTCCCAACTTTTCCAAGTCTCGATTTTTCAGTTTCTCGGTGATTTGATTTCTAGATTTTTCTTCTTTTCGACTTCAGAATTGTTGATTTTTTGACTTCGATTTTTTATTTTTCGATTTTTAGATATTTCAATTTCCGATATTATTAGATTTTCGGTTTCTCGATTTTTCGAGTTCTCAATTTTTCTATATTTCAGTTACCAAATTTTTCAATTTTCCGTTTTGTTAACTTTTAGTTTTCAATATTTTGATTTCCAAATTTATCGACATTTCGACTTTTTCTCGATTTTTCCATTTTTTTGTTTTTTCAGATTCCTCGAATTTTTGGGATCTCTATTTTCCATTATTCCAAATTTTCGATTTCTCGATTTTTCAAAATTTCACTTCTTCGACTATTCGACTTTTCGGTTTATTGATTTTTAATTTCTCCGTTCCTTCAATTTTCGAATTTTTGGTTTTCCAATCTCTTGTGTCTTCAGCTTTTCAGTTTTTTGATTTTTCAATTTTTCAACTTATAAAATTCAAGATTTTTCGATTTTTTCATTTCTTATATTTCGATTTTTTGACTTCTCAATGTTTCTTTCGATTTTTCAAATTCTAGATGTTTCAATTTTCTCATGTTCCGGTTTTTCTATTTTTGGATTTTTTGACTTTCAATTTTTCCACGTTATCATTTCTCAGTTTTTCCAATTTTAAAATTATCCGATTTCTGGATTTTTCGATTTCTTGACTTTTCAGTTTTTCAATTTTTCGATATTTCAGTTTCAGGATTTTTCAATTTTTCAATGTTTTAATTTTAGTCTTCGAGTTCTTGATTTTTCAACTTCCGATTTCTGTTTTTCGATGTTTCAGTTTTCGAATTTCTTACTTTTTTTTATTCTACAGTTTCTCGATTTTTCAATTACCCGAATTTTCGATTTTCAATTTCTTTTAGTTTTCGATTTCTTGATTTTTCAACTTCCGATTTCTGTTTTTCGATGTTTCAGTTTTCGAATTTCTTACTTTTTTTTATTCTTCAGTTTCTCGATTTTCAGTTACCCGAATTTTCGATTTTCAATTTCTCGAATTCTCAGCTTTTCAATTTTGACGTTTCTAAATTTCTAGTTTTTCTATTTTTCAATATTTGATTAATCATTTTTTTTATTTTCCCAGTTTTCGATATCTTGACTTGTCAATGTTTCTATTTTTCAGTTTTTCAGTTCTTTATTTCTTCGATTTTTTTCGATTTCTCAGTTTCTCGATGTTTTGATTTTTCCATTCTTCGATTTTTCTATTTTTCGACTTCAGATTTGTTGATTGTTCGGTTTTTGAGTTTTGACTTTTCGATTTTTAAATTTTTCGGTGAACGATTTTTAATTTTCCAAATTTCGATATTTCGATTTCTCAGTATCAGATTTTTCGGTTCCTCGATTTTTCGATATGTCGACTTTTCGATTTTTCGATATTACAGTTACCAGACTTTTCAATTTTCCGATTTTTTAACTTTTAGTTTTCGATATTTCAATTTCGTAATTTAATTACATTTCGACTTTGCCATTTCTAGATTTCTCTATTTTTCGTTTTTTCAGCTTTAAGATTTCTCGATTTCTTGAGACCTCTATTTTTCGATATTCCGAATTTTCGATTTCTCGATTTTTGAATTTCTCGATTCCTTCAGTTTTTGGTTTTCTGATCTCTCGTTTTATCATTTTTTCAGTTTTTTTAACTTATAAAATTCAAGATTTTTCGATTTCTCGAACTCTGAATGTTTCAATTTTTCTATTTTAGGATTTCTCCATTTTGCAATTTTTCCACCATTTAAATTTACGTTTTCGATTTCTTGAATTTTCAGTTTTTCAATTTTCTGTTTTTTCATTTTTTTTTTTAATTTACAGACTTCACGTTGTTTTAATTTTCTAATTTTCTGATTTCTCGATTTTTAAATTTCCCAAATTTTTGATTTCACGATTTCCCGACTTTTCAATGTTTTTGATGTCTCAATTTTTCGAAATTTCAGTTTCCTGATTTGTCAATTTTTCACTGTTTTAATTTTAATTTTCGATTTCTTGATTTTTCAACTTCCGATTTCTCAGTTTTTCAATATTTCAGTTTTCCAATTTTTTTCTTTTTTAATTTTTCAATTTTTCAATTTCTCGATTTTTCAGCCTTTCAATTTTTGACGTTTCTAAATTTTCAGTTTTTAGATTTCCCAATTTTCGATTAATCGATTTTTTGATTTTCTCAGTTTTTCAATTCTTCATTTGTTCGATTTTTTAGTTTAGTTTCTAGTTTCTTCATTTTTAAAATTTTTCAGGTTTTTGATCTTTTAATTTATCCGATTTTGTAATTTTTCGATTTTTGGACTTTTCGATTTCTTGATTTCTCAATTATTTGATATTTCAGTTATGAGATGTTTCAATTTTTCCATTCTCCAATATTTCTTCCTTTACTACTTTTTAATATTTCAATATATCCACCTTTCGATTTTTAGATTTTTCGACTTTTTGATTTTTTAATTTTTGAGCTTCCCAACTCTCGATTTTTTTATTTTACGATTTTCAGACGATTATTTGATTTGTCAGTTCTTTGATTTTTCAATTCTGCAACATAAAAATTCTGATTTCTCGATTTTTCGATTTCTGGATTTTCAATGTCCCGAGTACGATTTTTCGACTTCCCGATTTTTCAAAGTCGCAATTTTTCGATTTTTCAGTTTCTCGGTGTTTTGAGTTTTCGATTTCTTGATTTTTCCATTTTTCGACTTCAGATTTGTTGATTTGTTCGATTTTTTGACTGCGGTTTTTCAATTTGGAAAAAAAATTTAATTTTCCAACATTTCGATATGTCGATTTCTCAATATTAGATTTTTCGATTTCTCGTTTTTTCGATATGTCAACTTTCCGATTTTTCGATTTCTCAATTTTGCTATATTATAGTTACAAGATTTTTCAATTTTCCGATTTTTTAAATTTTAGTTTTCGATACTTCGATTTCCCAATTTATCGACTTTTCGACTTTGCCATCTATTGACTATTCGATTTGTCAATTATTTTTAGTTTCTTCAGCTTTAAGATTTCTCGATTTCTTGAGATCTCTATTTTTCGATATTCCGAATTTTCGATTTCCCGATTTTCCAAAATTTCAGTTTTTCGACTGTTTGACGTTTCGATTTATAATCGATTTTTAATTTCTCGATTCATTCAATTTTGAGTGTTTGGTTATCCGATCTTTTTTCCAGTCTTTTTATTTTTCAATTTTTCAAATTATAAAGGTCAAAATTTTTCGATTTCTCCATGTTCCGATTTTCGAAAAGTCGAAAAAGAGAAAAACAAAAATAGAAAAAGAGAAACATGGAAACATTAAAAAATATAAAAATTGAAAAGTCGAAAAACTGAAGAATCAAAATATTGAAAAGTCTAAAAACTGTAATATTGAAAAATTAAGTAATCGTAAAAAAATCGGGAAATCCAAAACTCCAAAAATCATAAATTACAAAATCGAATAAATTAAAAAATCAAAAACCTGAAAAATCTATAAATTGAAGAAACTGGAAATTAAAAAATTGAAGAACTGAAGAATTGAAAAATTGAAAAGTAGAAACACTGAAAAGTCCAGAAATTGAGAACTGGAAAAATAAAAAAATCGATTGATCAGAAATTGAGAGAACGAAAAAATGAAAATTTAGAAAAATCGAAAAATCGGGAAATTACAAAATCGAGAAATTGAACAATGAAAGAAGTGAAAAATTCGAAAACTGAAAAATGGAAAAACTGAGAAATCGGAAGTTGAGAAATCAAGAAATAGAAAACTAAAATTAAAGCATTGAAAAATTGAAAAATCCTGAAACTGAAATATCGAAAAATTGAGAAATGGAAAAAATTAAAAGTCTGGGAATCGTGCAATCGAAAATTTGGGAAATCTAAAAATCGAGAAATCGGAAAATTAGAAAATTAAAACAAATGAAAGTCTGGAAATTAAAAAAATCGAATAAACACAAAATTTAAAAACTGAAAATTCAGGAAATCGAAAACTAAAATTTAAATAGTGGAAAAATCGCAAAATGCCTAAACTGAAATATCAAAAAATTGAGAAATCGAAAAATTGATATGTCGAGATCGAAAAATCGAGAAATCGGATAATTTAAAAATTGGAAAAACTGAATAATTAGTCAAAAAGTCGAAATATTGAAAATCGAGAAATCCAAAAATAGAAAAACTGAAACATGGAAAAATTGAAGAATCGAAATATTGAATAGTCTAAAACTGAAACGTTTTCATTTTTTCGATTTATTTGTTTTTTTAATTTTTCGATTTTTAAATTTTTCAATTTCTTGATTTTTCGATTTTTCTATTGTTCAATTTTTCGATAATTCTATTTTTCAATATTTTGAATTTTTGAATCTTAGATTTTTCAGTTTTTTGATGATTCGATTTCTCTATTTTGCAGCTTCCCGGTTTTAGATTTTTCAATTCACTAAGTTTTGGATTTACTTTTTTTTTAATTTTTCGACTTATCAGTTTTCTCTTTTTTCCATTTTTCTCTTTTTCTTTCGAGATTTCGATGTTTCGTCTTTTGATTCTTCAAGTTATCGATATATCAATTCTTAGTTTTTTCGATTTATCGATTTTTTATGTTAAATTTTTCAATTTTTAATTTCTCGATTTTTAAATTTTGGCCAAATTCGGTTTTTCGATTTTTCCACTTTTCTGCTTTTCGATTTTTCAATCTTCCAATTTTTCGATGTGTCGATTTCTTGCTTTTTCGACTTTGCAATTCCTACATTTTAGATATTTGAAATTTTTAATGTTTTAGAGTTTTTAAATTTTTGATTTTTCAGTCTCTTCATTTTTTAATGTTTCGAGATTTTTTAATTTTTTTTTTGGGGTTTTCAATTTTTCGGTTTTACGATTTTTAAAATTTGTTTTATCTTTTTTGGTTCGGGTAGTTCTTCCGTGTCTTCATTGCATTCCCATTTCTCTGTGTATATTATTAATTTTGGCTTGATGCCCTTCAGTTTTTTCTTCCTTCTCGCGTTCTCTTATACGTTTCTCTTTCTCTTGTTCTGTAAGGTTATTATTAACACAAAGTATATTTCAGAATTTTTGAGATCCCGGGTGGCCATGCAAATCGCAGCGTCAGGGATATCGATAGATCTTGACAGGCTGCTTGTCAGCAACTGTCAAAACCTTTTTTCTTCGTCATTCATTCAATCAATTTTCAAATCAAAGATTGACTTTATAATATGGTGTGGAGTAGCGAATTTGACAAAGAAGAAGATTTCCAAGTAAACCAAATTAATCTCCCTCTTTTTTCTGTAGCTACATTTTCAGTTCGCCGGAAAATGTGTACAACCCTGGCAACTGGAAGCAGCCCGGGCTAACAACATGTTAGAAGACTTGTGTGCCCTTCATGTGGGATCCAGAGCTCCTGCAACACGTCTTTCTGGATTAATATGCTCAATCGGTCCAGAAGCTACACCTAAAAAGTCGTACCACTGAAGGAACTTTCGTTTCCAGGTATAGCGAGCTGCGACGTGCCCACAATCGAAATCCTCTTGGAAAACGGGATGAATATAGCCTGCTTGAATTGTCTGTATGGACAGATAGAGTACCATCAGCAAATTCTTTCAAATATAAGGACTGCGCAGAAGAACTTTAGCAAAAAAATTAAAATGAAGTACCCTTTGGCTGTCTCCGGCTTCACTCGGGGACCTGTTATTCGAGCAACTGGAAAACGTTGAAGCAGTGTTCAACAACTTGCAGCTCATCAATCTAGATTTAAGCCACAACGAAATTTCCTTCATTGCTAGTGATGCTTTAAGAAATATGACGAAACTGAGAATCGTTCGACTAAACCACAACAAAATCAAGTTCTGGGATAACAACTGGTTTCAAGACTCTGAAGCCATAACAACAATATTTGCTTCTAATAATTTGATTGGAGAACTTCCAGAGAAAGCGTTCAAAAATTATCAAAATACATTCTCGATTGATTTGGCAGCTAATAGAATCGAAAATATCAATGACCTGGCTTTCTATAACCCCGAAAGGGGGTTTACAAGACTCCACTATTTGATTCTCCGTGACAATCTTATCCAGAAGTGGAACAAATTTTTGCTGGTCAATCGAGCCAATATCACCGTGTATGGAATCGACCTGAGGAAGAACAAACTTGAGTGTTTTCAAGGCAGTGTAAATGATAATTTTGGAAAAGTCGAAGTGGTGTGGCTTAGTGATAACGCGTTTGGGGCAAGTTGTAGGATCGAAATTGAGCAATACGTTGATAAACATAAAGCTTATCAAACTCCAGAAGAACTGGAAGAAGAAATGATTTATTAAAACTAGTGTAGTTGGAAATTAAAACATAAATGTCAATTTGAGTCTGTATTGTGTGTTGCCTAGTCCAGCCTAAAAACCTGTGCTAAAAATCGTTGCCTCTTTCAACAACCTCTTCCAAAAATTTACTTACAACTACAATAAATACTGAAAAAAATATGTCCAACCCTAACCCATTTCCTGAATTTTCTAACCCGAAAGACGACTTCTTCAAACTTAAACCAATCTTGTTCATCGAAGTCCATTTCTTCAATTTTTTCAGTGTTTCGTGGTCAAAGTTGTCTTCCACCATTAACCTAGCAATAGCAAAGTTTCCCAAATGCAAGTCGCCGGTCAAAATGTGGATTTGATTGCCCCTCAAATCCACACTCTCATATTTACACTTGTGAAAAATGTTCACCGAAAGCACACTTAGCGAAACAGAACGCATAGCAAGAACTATGATCACAGATGTTTCTTGAAAAAGACTTTCGTTTAAATAAGTCATACTATTGTTGTTTAGATCCAACAAAAATAGGTTCATTTTCGTGAACTCAAGTGAAAACTTTTCCACACGTTTGATTCTGTTGTCGTCTAAAAACAGACTATGTACGTATGGTAAGTTACAAAAGGCTTTTGGATTTAAGACGGATAGTTTGTTTCGAGATAAATTGATTGTTTCTAGTTTGGTCAGGTTGACGAATGCTGCGTTTTCTATTTCTTCGATGTTGTTGGAAGGTAGAAACAAATAAGTGAGTTCAAGAGCTTTGAAAGTGTGTGTTTTAAGCCGTTTGATGTAGTTCAATTCTATGTTTAAAGCGACAATTTCTTGATCTTTTAGAAAATCGGGTTCTAAGTCGTTTACACTCGAATTTATGATATTCAACCTGTCGACAGCAAACGAAAGATTGAACAAATTTTTACATAATGTTGTAATTGAATTGTTGTTGATATTTATGGTGTTCACGTCTTCCGAAGTAGAAACAGTAGAACTGGTGAATTCTCTATAAACGGAGTTATAGTCTTTCACTTGATAAGTAATTTTATCTGTCGAAAAGTTGCTGCAAAAAGAAATCGATTTTTGGAACTGACACAACAGTAAAAATAAATGCAAGAACATTTTAGAAGTCGCAGTAGTTTGTAACGAATATTTTGTAACGAATACACTGAAAATAATTTTAATACATTTCGAATGTTCTAGAATATACTTATCAAACTAATGCGTTTCTTATGTCCCAAAATGTGTGTTTCCAAATACCTAGTACCTAAGTGCTTTGCAACAACTTTTTTGTTGAGTGTTGCAACGTTTTGATGGCGTGAGAAAGTCGTCTTTTTACGTTTTTTACGTACACTTAACGCATAGGAATAAGGGTCTAATAAAAATGGACGCTGTATTTAAGTAAAAACATGAAGAAATGATTAATTTTTAAGTTACATTGTTTAATACATAGTCCGAAGTTTTCTTTACGGTATGCAGTTGCGTATTGTGTGTTGCCTACTCTCCAAACGTCGCCACTACTTAGTTGATTATAAAGTTAAACCGATAAAGCTTCCTAGGCAATTATCACTTAAGTACCTATTAAAGTGTGTAGTAAAGTTAATTTTGTTTCAATGTTCTAAAACTAAAGCGTTTTTAATTGAAATTTTTTTTAATGTATAACAACATTTTACAAATTAACTTTGAAATTGCAAGACTGAATGCTCAGAAATTCGGCAAAAAATCAAAAGTTAATGACATCATCTCCCCCAGAAGTTAATGACATCATCTTACATTTTTGTTAAATAAATATTGTTTAAATGTTATGAAATAACATGCTCCTGAATTTCTGGTTTATTAATCCGTGTTAAAATTTTGTTCTAGACATGGAGATTTTTGGAAAAAAGTCAAATTTTTCAATTTTTTTGCTTCTCCATTTTTCGATTTAAGTATGGATTTTTCAGTGTTTCTACTTCTCAGTTTTTCAATATTTTACTTTGGTTTTTTCTCGATTTTTCGACTTTTAAAATTTTTAATTTTTCGTGTTTTCGTTTTCGGAATTTTGAATTTTCCGCTATGATTTCTCAATTTTTTGATTTCTTTATTTTTTGAGTACTCCATTTTACCGCTTTTCGATATTCCGATTTTTCGATTTCACGATTTTTCTTTTTTTAGTGTTTCGACTTTTCGATCCATCGGTTTCTCCATTTTTCGATTTTTTGATTTTTCGATTTTTCGATTTTTCGATTTTTCGATTTCTCGATTTCTGAATTTTTCAGTTTTTGGAATATTTTCAATTCTTCATTTCTTCGATTTTTTAATTTCCAATTTTTTCAATTTTTAGATTTTTCAGGTTTTTGATTTTTTAGTTTATTCGATTTTATAATTTTTCGATTTTTGGACTTTTCGATTTCTCGATTTTTCAGTTTTTAGATTTCTCTATTTTTCGATATTTCAGCTATGGGATTTTCCAATTATCTGATTTTTGACTTTCTGATTTTTCGATTTTTAGATTTTTCCACTTTTTAATTTTTTAGCTTCCCCAACTTTCGATTTTTGTTTTTACGATTTTCAGACTTCTCAATTTTTTGATTTATGAGTTTTTCGATTTTTCAATTTTTCGATATAAAATTTCTGATTTCTCGATTTTCAGTGTTCCAAGTACGATTTTTCGACTTCCCAACTTTTCCAAGTCTCGAATTTTCAGTTTCTCGGTGATTTGATTTCTCGATTTTTCTTCTTTTCGACTTCAGAATTGTTGATTTTTTGACTTCAATTTTTTATTTTTCGATTTTTAGATATTTCAATTTCCGATATTATTAGATTTTCGGTTTCTCGATTTTTCGAGTTCTCAATTTTTCTATATTTCAGTTACCAAATTTTTGTATTTTCCGTTTTATTAACTTTTAGTTTTCGATATTTTGATTTCCAAATTTATCGACATTTCGACTTTTTCTCGATTTTTCCATTTTTTGTTTTTTCAGATTCCTCGAATTCTTGGGATCTCTATTTTCCAATATTCCAAATTTTCAATTTCTCGATTTTTCAAAATTTCACTTCTTCGACTATTCGACTTTTCGGTTTATTGATTTTTAATTTCTCGATTCCTTCAATTTTCGAGTTTTTGGTTTTCCAATCTCTCGTGTCTTCAGATTTTCAGTTTTTCAATTTCTCAATGTTTTAATTTTAGTTTTCGAGTTCTTGATTTTTCAACTTCCGATTTCTGTTTTTCGATGTTTCAGTTTTCGAATTTCTTACTTTTTTTTATTTTCCAATTTCTCGATTTTTCAATTACCCGAATTTTCGATTTTCAATTTCTCGAATTCTCAGCTTTTCAATTTTGGCGTTTCTAAATTTATAGTTTTTCTATTTTTCAATATTTGATTAATAATTTTTTTTATTTTCCCAGTTTTCGATATCTGGACTTGTCAATGTTTCTATTTTTCAGTTTTTCAGTTCTTCATTTCTTCGATTTTTTTCGATTTCTCAGTTTCTCGATGTTTTGATTTTTCCATTCTTCGATTTTTCTATTTTTCGACTTCAGATTTGTTGATTGTTCGGTTTTTTGAGTTTTGACTTTTCGATTTTTAAATTTTTCGGTGAACGATTTTTAATTTTCCAAATTTCGATATTTCGATTTCTCAGTATCAGATTTTTCGGTTCCTCGATTTTTCGATATGTCGACTTTTCGATTTTTCGATATTACAGTTACCAAACTTTTCAATTTTCCGATTTTTTAACTTTTAGTTTTCGATATTTCAATTTCGTAATTTAATTACATTTCGACTTTGCCATTTATAGATTCCTCTATTTTTCGTTTTTTCAGCTTTAAGATTTCTCGATTTCTTGAGATCTCTATTTTTCGATATTCCGAATTTTCGATTTCACGATTTTTCTTTTTTTTGTGTTTCGACTTTTCGATCTCTCGGTTTCTCCATTTTTCGATTTTTTGATTTTTCGATTTTTCGATTTTTCGATTTCTCGATTTCTGAATTTTTCAGTTTTTGGAATATTTTCAATTCTTCATTTCTTCGATTTTTTAATTTCCAATTTTTTCAATTTTTAGAATTTTCAGGTTTTTGATTTTTTAGTTTATTCGATTTTGTAATTTTTCGATTTCTCGATTTTTCAGTTTTTAGATTTCTCTATTCTTCGATATTTCAGCTATGGGATTTTCCAATCATTTGACTTTCTAATTTTTCGATTTTTAGATTTTTCCACTTTTTAATTTTTTAGCTTCCCCAACTTTCGATTTTTTGTTTTTACGATTTTCAGACTTCTCAATTTTTTGATTTATGAGTTTTTCGATTTTTCAATTTTTCGATATAAAATTTCTGATTTCTCGATTTTCAGTGTTCCAAGTACGATTTTTCGACTTCCCAGCTTTTCCAAGTCTCGATTTTTCAGTTTCTCGGTGATTTGATTTCTCGATTTTTCTTCTTTTCGACTTCAGAATTGTTGATTTTTTGACTTCGATTTTTTATTTTTCGATTTTTAGATATTTCAATTTCCGATATTATTAGATTTTCGGTTTCTCGATTTTTCGAGTTCTCAATTTTTCTATATTTCAGTTACCAAATTTTTTCATTTTCCGTTTTATTAACTTTTAGTTTCCGATATTTTGATTTCCAAATTTATCGACATTTCGACTTTTTCTCGATTTTTCCATTTTTTGTTTTTTCAGATTCCTCGAATTCTTGGGATCTCTATTTTCCAATATTCCAAATTTTCGATTTCTCGATTTTTCAAAATTTCACTTCTTCGACTATTCGACTTTTCGGTTTATTGATTTTTAATTTCTCGATTCCTTCAATTTTCGAGTTTTTGGTTTTCCAATCTCTCGTGTCTTCAGATTTTCAGTTTTTCAATTTCTCAATTTTTCGATATTTCAGTTTCAGGATTTTTCAATTTTTCAATGTTTTAATTTTAGTTTTCGATTTCTTGATTTTTCAACTTCCGATTTCTGTTTTTCGATGTTTCAGTTTTCGAATTTCTTACTTTTTTTTATTCTTCAGTTTCTCGATTTTCAGTTACCCGAATTTTCGATTTTCAAATTCTCGAATTCTCAGCTTTTCAATTTTGACGTTTCTAAATTTCTAGTTTTTCTATTTTTCAATATTTGATTAATCATTTTTTTTATTTTCCTAGTTTTCGATATCTGGACTTGTCAATGTTTCTATTTTTCAGTTTTTCAATTCTTCATTTATTCGATTTTTTTCGATTTCTCAGTTTCTCGATGTTTTAATTTTTCGATTCTTCGATTTTTCTATTTTTCGACTTCAGATTTGTTGATTGTTCGGTTTTTTGAGTTTTGACTTTTCGATTTTTCAATTTTTCGGTGAACGATTTTTAATTTTCCAAATTTCGATATTTCGATTTCTCAGTATCAGATTTTTTTGTTCCTCGATTTTTCGATATGTCGACTTTTCGATTTTTCGATATTACAGTTACCAGACTTCAATTTTCCGATTTTTTAACTTTTAGTTTTCGATATTTCAATTTCGTAATTTAATTACATTTCGACTTTGCCATTTCTAGATTCCTCTATTTTTCGTTTTTTCAGCTTTAAGATTTCTCGATTTCTTGAGATCTCTATTTTTGGATATACCGAATTTTCGATTTCTCGATTTTTGAATTTCTCGATTCCTTCAGTTTTCGAGTTTTTGGTTTTCTGATCTCTCGTTTCATCATTTTTTCAGTTTTTTTAACTTATAAAATTCAAGATTTTTCGATTTCTCGAACTCTGAATGTTTCAATTTTTCTATTTTAGGATTTCTCCATTTTGCAATTTTTCCACCATTTAAATTTACGTTTTCGATTTCTTGAATTTTCAGTTTTTCAATTTTCTGTTTTTTCATTTTTTTTTTTAATTTACAGACTTCACGTTGTTTTAATTTTCTAATTTTCTGATTTCTCGATTTTTAAATTTCCCAAATTTTCGATTTCACGATTTCATGACTTTTCAATGTTTTAGATGTCTCAATTTTTCGAAATTTCAGTTTCCTGATTTGTCAATTTTTCAATGTTTTAATTTTAATTTTCGATTTCTTGATTTTTCAACTTCCGATTTCTCAGTTTTTCAATATTTCAGTTTTCCAATTTTTTTCTTTTTTAATTTTTCAATTTTTCAATTTCTCGATTTTCCAGCCTTTCAATTTTTGACGTTTCTAAATTTTCAGTTTTTAGATTTCTCAATTTTCGATTAATCGATTTTTTGATTTTCTCAGTTTTTCAATTCTTCATTTGTTCGATTTTTTAGTTTAGTTTCTAGTTTCTTCATTTTTAAAATTTTTCAGGTTTTTGATCTTTTAATTTATCCGATTTTGTAATTTTTCGATTTTTGGACTTTTCGATTTCTTGATTTCTCAATTATTTGATGTTTCAGTTATGAGATGTTTCAATTTTTCCATTCTCCAATATTTCTTCCTTTACTACTTTTTAATATTTCAAGATATCCACCTTTCGATTTTTCGACTTTTTGATTTTTTAATTTTTGAGCTTCTCCAACTCTCGATTTTTTTATTTTACGATTTTCAGACTTCTCGATTATTTGATTTGTCAGTTCTTTGATTTTTCAATTCTGCAACATAAAAATTCTGATTTCTCAATTTTTCGATTTCTGGGTTTTCAATGTCCCGAGTAGGATTTTTCGACTTCCCGATTTTTCAAAGTCGCAATTTTTCGATTTTTCAGTTTCTCGGTGTTTTGAGTCTTCGATTTCTTGATTTTTTCATTTTTCGACTTCAGATTTGTTGATTTGTTCGATTTTTTGACTTCGATTTTCCAATTTGGTAAAAAAATTTAATTTTCCAACATTTCGATATGTCGATATCTCAATATTAGATTTTTCGATTTCTCGTTTTGTCGATATGTCAACTTTCCGATTTTTCGATTTCTCAATTTTGCTATATTACAGTTACAAGATTTTTCAATTTTTCGATTTTTTAAATTTTGGTTTTCGATACTTCGATTTCCCAATTTATCGACTTTTCGACTTTGCCATCTATTGACTATTCGATTTGTCAATTATTTTTAGTTTCTTCAGCTTTAAGATTTCTCGATTTCTTGAGATCTCTATTTTTCGATATTCCGAATTTTCGATTTCCCGAATTTCCAAAATTTCAGTTTTTCGACTGTTTGACGTTTCGATTTATAATCGATTTTTAATTTCTCGATTCATTCAATTTCGAGTGTTTGTTTATCCGATCTTTTTTCCAGTCTTTTTATTTTTCAATTTTTCAAATTATAAAGGTCAAAATTTTTCGATTTCTCGATGTTTCGATTTTCGAAAAGTCGAAAAAGAGAAAACGAAAAGTAGAAAAAGAGAAACATGGAAACATTAAAAAATATAAAAATTGAAAAGTCGAAAAACTGAAGAATCAAAATATTGAAAAGTCTAAAAACTGTAATATTGAAAAATTAAGTAATCGTAAAAAAATCGGGAAATCCAAAAGTCCAAAAATCATAAATTACAAAATCGAATAAATTAAAAAATCAAAAACCTGAAAAATCTATAAATTGAAGAAACTGGAAATTAAAAAATTGAAGAACTGAAGAATTGAAAAATTGAAAAGTAGAAACACTGAAAAGTCCAGAAATTGAGAACTGGAAAAATAAAAAAATCGATTGATCAGAAATTGAGAGAACGAAAAACTTAAAATTTAGAAAAATCGTAAAATCGGGAAATTAAAAAATCGAGAAATTGAACAATGAAAGAAGTGAAAAATTCGAAAACTGAAAAATGGAAAAACTGAGAAATCGGAAGTTGAAAAATCAAGTAATAGAAAACTAAAATTAAAGCATTGAAAAATTGAAAAATCCTGAAACTGAAATATCGAAAAATTGAGAAATGGTAAAAATTAAAAGTCTGGGAATCGTGCAATCGAAAATTTGAGAAATCTAAAAATCGAGAAATCGGAAAATTAGAAAATTAAAACAAATGAAAGTCTGGAAATTAAAAAAATTAAATAAACGGAGAGTTGAAAAACTGAAAATTCGGGAAATCGAAAACTAAAATTTAAATAGTGGAAAAATTGCAAAATGCCTAAACTGAAATATCAAAAATTGAGAAATCGAAACACTGAAATGTCGAGATCGAAAAATCGAGAAATCGGATAATTTAAAAATTGGAAAAACTGAATAATTAGTCAAAATGTCGAAATATTGAAAATCGAGAAATCCAAAAATAGAAAAACCATGGAAAAATTGAAGAATCGAAATACTGAAAAGTCTAAAATTGAAACGTTTTCATTTTTTCGATTTCTTGTTTGTTTAATTTTTCGATTTTTAAATTTTTCAATTTCTTGATTTTTCGATTTTTCTATTGTTCAATTTTTCGTTAATTCTATTTTTCAATATTTTGAATTTTTAAATCTTAGATTTTCCAGTTTTTTGATGATTCGATTTCTCTATTTTGCAGCTTCCCGGTTTTAGATTTTTCAATTCATTAAGTTTTGGATTTACTTTTTTTTTTAATTTTTCGACATTTCAGTTTTCTGTTTTTTCCATTTTTTTATTTTCTTTCGAGATTTCGATGTTTCGTCTTTTGATTGTTCAAGTTATCGATATATCAATTCTTAGTTTTTTCGATTTATCGATTTTTTATGTTAAAGTTTTCAATTTTTAACTTCTCGATTTTTAAATTTTGGCCAAATTCGGTTTTTCGATTTTTCCACTTTTCTGCTTTTCGATTTTTCAACCTTCCAATTTTTCGATGTGTCGATTTCTTGCTTTTTCGACTTTGCAATTTCTACATATTAGATACTTGAAATTTTTGATATTTCGATTTTTCTCGGTTTTTTAATTTTCCGATATTTTAATTTCACGATTTTTTAAATTTTAGATTTTTCGGTTTCTCGAATTTTAGAGTTTTTAAATTTTTGATTTTTCAGTCTCTTCATTTTTTAATGTTTCGAGATTATTAAATTTTATATTTTAGGGTTTTCAATTTTTAGATTTTTCGATTTTTCTATTGTTCAATTTTTCGTTAATTCTATTTTTCAATATTTCGAATTCTTAAATCTTAGATTTTCCAGTTTTTTGATGATTCGATTTCTCTATTTTGCAGCTTCCCGGTTTTAGATTTTTCAATTCATTCAGTTTTGGATTTACTTTTTTTTTTTTAATTTTTCGACTTTTCAGTTTTCTGTTTTTTCCATTTTTTTATTTTCTTTCGAGATTTCGATGTTTCGTCTTTTGATTGTTCAAGTTATCGATATATCAATTCTTAGTTTTTTCGATTTATCGATTTTTTATGTTAAATTTTTCAATTTTTAACTTCTCGATTTTTAAATTTTGGCCAAATTCGGTTTTTCGATTTTTCCACTTTTCTGCTTTTCGATTTTTCAACCTTCCAATTTTTCGATGTGTCGATTTCTTGCTTTTTCGACTTTACAATTTCTACATATTAGATACTTGAAATTTTTGATATTTCGATTTTTCTCGGTTTTTTAATTTTCCGATATTTTAATTTCACGATTTTTTAAATTTTAGATTTTTCGGTTTCTCGAATTTTAGAGTTTTTAAATTTTTGATTTTTCAGTCTCTTCATTTTTTAATGTTTCGAGATTTTTAAATTTTATATTTTAGGGTTTTTCAAATTTTTAACGTTTCAATTTTTCCATTTTTTTTTTCTATTGCTCGATGTTTCAGTTTTTCGATTTTTAAAATTTTATGGACCTTTTTTGGTTCGGGTAGTTCTTTCCTGTCTTCATTGCATTCCCATTTCTCTTTGTATATTATTAATTTTGGCTTGATGCCCTTCAGTTTTTTCTTCCTTCTCACGTTCTCTTATACGTTTGTCAATCTCTTTCTCTTGTTCTGTGAGGTTATTATTAACACAAAGTATATTTCAGAATTTTTGAGATCCCGGGTGGCCATGCTTACATAAACTAGCCTTATTAACAATATATGTTTCAAATCGTAGCGTCTGGGGTATAGATAGATCTTGACAGGCTGCTTGTCAGCAACTGTCAAAACCTTTTTTCTTGGACATTCATTCAATCAGTTTTCAAATCAAAGATTGGCTTTATAATATGGTGTGGAGTAGCGAATTTGACAAAGAAGAAGATTTCCAAGTAAACCAAATTAATCTCCCTCTTTTTTCTGTAGCTACATTTTCAGTTCGCCGGAAAATGTGTACAACCCTGGCAACTGGAAGCAGCCCGGGCTAACAACATGTTAGAACACTTGTGTGCCCTTCATGTGGGATCCAGAGCTCCTGCAACGCGTCTTTCTGGATTAATATGCTCAATCGGTCCAGAAGCTACACCTAAAAAGTCGTACCACTGAAGGAACTTTCGTTTCCAGGTATAGCGAGCTGCGACGTACCCACAATCGAAATCCTCTTGGAAAATGGGATGAATATAGCCTGCTTGAATTGTTTGTATGGACAGATAGAGTACCATCAGCAAATTCTTTCAAATATAAGGACTGCGCAGAAAAACTTCAGCAAAAAAATTAAAATGAAGTACCCTTTGGCTGTCTCCGCCTTCACTCGGGGACCTGTTATTCGAGCAACTATTCCCATTGGAGTAAGTTGTACTTTCTACAAAGTGTTCAAAAAAATAAGAACACCCGGTATAACTTATCCATGTTGCCACGTTCACTAACTTTCAGTGCCGAGTAACGGAAATCATCTTGTACCAAGACGACATCATCGAACTCTGCGCCGACGAAACCTACGTCATCATGTCCAACAACCCCAAAGTCATCCACATCAACTACAACAACTTCCACCGCGTCGTCAAAGTGGGCAACAAAGTCAACATCAACCGCCGCACCATCCACCTGGTGTGCACCGACATCGTCGGCGCCGTCGTCGTCTGCAAGGTTCTCAAAGGCGGCACGGTCCTCAGCGGCAGCCGCGTCCACCTGCCCGGCATCCCCGTCGACATGCCCGCCCTCAACGACATCGACAAGCGCGTCCTCACCTTCGCCGTCGAAAGCGGCATCGACATCATCTTCGCCGCCTACGTGCGCGACGAGACCACCGTCAACGAGATCCGCCAGTTCCTCGGACCGGCGGGAAAGCACATCATGATCTGCTCCGAGATCGAAAACCTTCAAGGGATCGTGAACATCGACGAAATCATCAAGGCGTCGGACGCTATCATGGTGGCTAGGTTGGACCTGGCGAACGAAATCGCCGACGAGAAGGTCTTTCTGGCGCAGAGGTCGATTATTAGCAAGTGCAACGTGGTGGGGAAGCCGGTGGTGTGCACGACGCACCTGCTGGAGTCGATGATGTATTCGCGGATTCCGTCGAGGTCGGAGAGTACCGATATTGCCAATGCGATTATGAATGGGGTTGATTGCGTTATGTTGTACCATGAGACTGCGCTGGGGGACTACCCGGTGGCGACTGTGAAACAGGCGGTGGCCATGTGCAAGCAGGCGGAACCGGCGATTTGGCAGAAGAGGATGGTCATGGATTTGTCGAAAAAAGTAAGACGATTTGTTAGTGTGATTGTTAATGGTTTTTTGGTAGATCCAGGCACCGATTATCACGACCCATGCTTTGGCAGCGGCGGCTGTCGAAATTTCCTTCAGCTCATTGGCTTCCGCTATCGTCATCACTACTGCGTCCATGAAATCTGCCCATTTGCTGTCAAAGTATAGGCCCAAGTGTCCCATCATTGCTGTGACGAGAAATGAGAACCAAGCCCGACAGGCACACATGTTTAGAGGAATAATACCTTTGTTGTATAAAGGTAACTGAGACTGCCACTTTGACAAAAATGATAAAGTATTGTCTAGACCAGCGGGAGATCGACTGGAAGAAAGATCTGGAGAAGAGAGTGTATTTTGGGATTAATTTTGGCAGAAAAAGGGGTTTGTAGTGAAACTTGTTCTTTAACATCGTAAAATTTTGTTGTTTTTGGTGGTTCCAGGGTTCATTCGGCCGGGAGAACCCGTGGTAATAGTGACGAGCTCAGTGCAAGGGTCTGGATTTGCAGACAAGATGAGAATAGTGTACGTGACGAAACACATATCCCATGGAACAGAATGTATTTGCTAAAAATATTAACACAATAAATGAGAAATCATGATTACTCAAAAGGTTTCAAAATCGGCTTAACTTATTTACAAAATTTGACCGATTTGAAAATTAGATGAGATAAGATCCCCAGACAAGTATGTGATGATATAAAAAAGAAATTGGGTGCATTATTCTATTTATTTTTTATTTATCGTGCTGTTTCGTGTTTTCGTGCTAGGTGTATTGTGATTAAAGAAAATATTTTTATTGTTACGTATATTTAAAATTTCCGCCACAAATATTCAACCACAGGTAAGTAAAATTAACATAAGTAGTTATCAACATAATGAATTCTTTCTTTCATACGAAATAGCGCATTTTGCAATCATACGTGCATTCATTTCGCACGTCCATTAAAATTTATCAGTCAAAATGCGAAACGGATAGTTTATCCATTTTGTCTAAAAATTTACACATTATTATTCATAGTAAACGATAACTCGATCATCTTTATCGTTGTTTGTTTAAAACATCATGTTGCAATTTATCTGCATTGTCAGGTTTCAAGTGTTTATGTTATGAGGTTGCGATTGATTGATATCTCAGATTATCTGCTTATATTGTGTGTAAAAATAGAAAATTTATCACAATTTGAGTCTTAAGATGGATTACGTTTAATTAAAATTGGGAATGTCTTTATTTTCTGTTTTTTTTTGTACAATTTCTTTTCCATTTAAATGTTTTCTTCCACCACTGCTTTTCCTTTTTGTAACCACACTTCTTCTTCTTCTTCTATGTTTATTTCGAATGTGTTTTTTTCTCTCGTTTAAACCTTTATAATTTTTACTTCCCAAGCGTCGAGTTCGTTGTAGTCGAGTCCATAGAGCGACTGATTACTGTCATGTTTTCTCGACGTTTCATGACCTGTTTGTTCGGCGTTTGTGCGGGTTTTTATTAGACAGATAGTATCCGAAACTACTGGACCGATTGTTATCAAATTTTGTAGTATCTTAGGAATCATGCTGATGGCAAAATGGAAACCGAAATTTATCTACTCTTCTCCACCAACCATGGAATGATGCCATATTCAAAATTTACAATAGTACCGTGTCGAGTTTTTGACAAAAATAAAAATTGTAGATTTCTCAATTTTTCGGTTTCAGTTCAGGAATTTTTCAATTTTTGACGTTACTAATTTTTTAGTTTTTCGCTTTTATGATTTTTCGATTTTTGTTTTTTTGATTTTACCATCTTTCGGCTTTTCAATATTTCGATTTTTTATTTTTCAAATCCTTTGATTTTTCACTTTTTCGATTTTCGATTTGATTTTTTGTTTCATTAATTTTTCGATATCTCAATTTGCTTCAGTTATAGGATTTTTCAATTTTTCGTTACTTTAATGATTCAATATTTAAATTTTTGTTTTTTCGATTTGTCGATCCCTCGATTTCTTGATTCCTCGATTTCTCGTATGTTATAACTTTGATGTCTTTTTTTCAATTTTTCAATTTTTTAAATTCAACAATTTTCCATTTCTAAATGTTTCACTTTTCTATTTCTTGACATATCGCTATTTCGACTTTTAATAAATGCACGTCAAAAATTGAGGATATTGATGAAAGAAATTTAATTTTTTTATAATTTTCGACACAACTTAAATGAAATTAATTACGATATCACTTTCGGCTTCTTGATTTACAGAGTTCTTGATTTCGCAATTTTCAATATTGTTGGATTTTTCAGTTCTTTATTTTTTCTGTTTTTCAGATTTTCGATTTTTAAATGTTTGATTTTTCGGCTTTTCGTTTTTTAAAATTTTTCGGTTTACCAACTTTTCAATGTTCCAGATTTGGGATTTTTCAATATTTCGGTTATTCAATTTTTCGATTTTTTATATTTGGTTTACTCGATTTCCCGACTTTTCTATTTTTCACATCTTCGATGTGACTATTTTTCAATTTTTCGATTTCTTAATCTTCAAAATTTTCCATTTCCAAATTTTTCAATTTTTCGATTTTTGTAGTCTCGGTTTCTCAATTTTTCAACATTTCAATTTTGGAAATTTTTCGATTTCTGGATTTTTCAATTCTTGAATTTTTATTTTTCAGGTTTCTGATTTTTCAATTTTTCGATTTTTAAAATTTTCGGTTTTTGCGACTTTTCTATTTCCAGATTTTTTAATTTTTCGATTTCAAAACTTCTCCTTGTTTCAGTTTTAGGATTTTCCGATTTTTCAATTTTACCAACAAAACCTCAAGAGGAATCTGAAGAACCGAATCCAGAAAATCAGTAACTAACGAAATAGTAATTTACGCAACTAGTTCGGGATAGCCTGCTTCCCGCATGAACGCTTGTTTGAGGCACGACCGAAGGGAGTGCCGCATTTGCGTGAATGCGGGAAGCAGGCTCACGAACGTGTTGTGTACAATATTTTTTGCGACGAATAAACCTTTAAACTGAAGAGATTAACTGTGAGTTATTTATAAACAACGCCATTGACAGCGCCGTCAACACGTCACAATGTTGACACTACCCGAGTATTTTAAGGTTACCATGGCAACGGGAAGTTAAATGCACGTGTGCGGGAAGTTCGACCTCCCGCACTCCGGTGAATGCGCGAAAGCTATCAAAAAAGGTCATGAGTGCAAAAATAATTTTAAAACACCAAAAAAAAATTTTTTGATGAACTGTAATTCCCCAATTTTTTTTCCATTTTCCAATCTTTCGGTATTTCAGTTTTTTTCAATATTTCGATTCTTCAATTTCCCAATTTTTCGGCTTTTCGACTTTTCGAATTCTCGTTTTTTTACTGTTTCGCTTTTTAATTTTACATTTACAATTTTTCGATTTATTGAATCGATTTCACGATTTTTCAATTTTTCCACATTTTAATTTTACAATTTTTAAAATTTTGGATTTTCCGAGTTGTCGATTTCTCGATTTTTCAATTTTTCGATTTTTTAAATTTTAGATATTTCTGGTTTCGATTGATTTCGTTGTTTCGGTTTCTCCATCTTTCGAAATTACGATTTCTCGATGTTTCAAGTTTTGAATTTTTCGATATTTCAAATTTTTGGCTTTTCGGCATTTTGGTTTTGCAATTTTACAATTTTCCGTTGCTTCGAAGGTTCAATTTTTCGATTTCCGGATTTTTCAATTTTTTCACTTTGCCAGTTTTCAATTTTTCTATTTTTGAATTTTCATTTTCCTTGGTATTTTGTCGTTTAGATTTCTCGATTTCTCGACTTTTCGATTTTTGCAGTTTTTAAATTTTTGATTTTTTGACTTCTTCGATTTTAATTTTTGGATTGTTAAATTACACATTTTCAGTTTTTCGATTTATTGACTCGATATCACGATTTTTCAATTTTTCCACATTTTATTTCTTCAATTTTTAAAATCTTAATATTTTTGGGATTTTTCGACTTTTTGGTTCTTCAATTCTTCTATTTTTCCATTTTTTGAATTTTTGAATTTTAGATTTTTCGACTTCTCGGTTTTAGATTTTTCGGTTTTTCGATTTTTCAATTTTTCGGGTTTTAAATTTTTCGATTTTTCAGTTTTTCACTTCTCGATCTATCCGGAGTTCGATGTTTCGATTTTATTTTTTGAGGTTACGATTTCTCGATGTTGCAGTTTTTGAGCTTTTCGATGTTCCGATTATTTGATTCGATTTCACAATTTTTCAGTTTTTCGGAATTTCAATTTTTCGTGATATCAGTTTTAAAATTTTGCAATTTTCTTGGTGTTTTGATGTCTCAATTTCGCGATTTGTCAATTTTTCCATTATTTAATTTTTCAATTTTTTTTTTATTTTAGAATTTTCGGTTTCCCGATTTCCCAATTTCACGATTTTTCGATTTTTCTGATCTTCGATATTTCTACTTTCTAAACATTTTTCGATTTTAAGACTTTTTAATGTTTCGATTTTTTATGATAAATATTAGATTTATAAGCTTTCATAAAAATTTCTACAGATATTTTGATCAGCGACGTGCCAATCATAACGTTATGGATGGGAGCTCGGAGACAGAAGAAACTGAAAGATTACCATCCAATCTTCAGCTTGAACAACATACTTCAATATTACCAAAGGTGCGACAGTTTTTAAAAGTTAAAATAAATTAATTAAGATTTCTTATTAGAAATTATGACAACTTTTAGACTCTTTTATCCAATAATCGATTTTTAGGAAAACTCTATCCCAAAAACACAACAACTTAATGCTGCTAAAAATACCCAACTCGAAAAATCACCAAAAGCTCCAGCCCAAAACTCTGAACAAAAACCGCCCCCAGTTGAAGAAAAAGCTGAAGCAGCATACGAATCAAAAAAAGTTAATTCTACCCAAAAAATAAACCCAATAATCCATTCTAATATTTTCAGACCTTCCTCAAAAGAAGCGGCACCACCGACCGAGGCAAAGATTTTGAGAATATCCTAATCGCCAACGTCATCCTTTCGTTGCTCAGCGACCAGACAATTACTGACTTCTACATCTCGTCCAACGACGACAGTTTCGGCGCATTTGATGACGTTGTCATCGAACTGCACACAGGGAGCAAAATCGAAACAAAAGCCATTCAGCTGAAACATAGCGAACAAGAAAAATTATTATCCATCCAACAACTAAAAACCAAAAAAGAAAAAAAGGCAGATTTCGCGCTACGGAAATATTTTGAATCGTTCCAACAGGTCCATAGTAGAGCACAAGAATTTTTGTTGTTCACTAACTTTAAATTTGGAATTTCGGACAAGAAAATATTTCAACTACAAGGGGAAAAGTTTGACATAAAACCAGTGCGGTTGACTATTCCAGAAGGAGGTTTAAAATTTTCTGGGCGTGTTGATAACTACTATAAGTTCGAAGTGGTGGAGGGGGAATGGACTAGGCAAAACCCGGAGGAGTTTGAAGCTTACAAAGCCTTTTTTGGAAAGTTTCGTCTTCACACTGATCAAAAAAATGTCGACGAACTCGAGAAATCAACGTTGAAGGAATTCACTGAAGCTTTTTCTTCCAATAAAGATGCGTTTCAAAAGTACGTCAGAGTTATCACGGAGTGGAATATGAGAAAAGGGGAGAAAGACAAACTCAGTAAAGAGTGGATGGAGCGTGCCATAACTTTGCTTTTGATTGGTCCTCAAATCGAACCTCTATGTTTTGGTTTAGTCGACGACAAAATGAAGATTTTGAGAGAAGCTATTTCTTATTTTGATGTCACTCTAGTGGAAGAAAATGGAAGTAAACTAGTTAAAAAGTTGTGGGTCGATTTTAACACTAACAATCTCGACGAGGTCAACAAACTAAGCAAAAAATATTGCCTTCCTTGCGATTACATAGAAGACGTTAAAAATTTGGATGGACTTATTTTGGCACAACTGCTATGGTTGATGGATCAGAGTCCGTTAATACTGAGAGAAAATTCAAGTGTTCATAAAGCAATCCAACTATGCCGTCATCAAAAATTTGTCTTGGTAGTTGACAATGATGAGACGAAAGAATGGATGAAAGGCCGCTCGGTTTTCCAGAACTTATCCAACTTGACAACGAATGTCATCCTATACGAAAAAATAATGCAAACTTTCACCATTTCGTTGCAAGGAAAAGAAGACCTAACTCTAGAAGCGGCATTTGGAAACAACAAAGAATTTCTAACCCACGTGTCCACAACCAATCTAACCCAAATGCTTCACGGTCCCTGCTACATCGGAGACAAAGAAGACCTTGTGGATCCTTACATAGAGCGCAATTTCACCCGAAACACCATCGACATCAAATTTTTGGAAAACGCTTCTCACACGACCCTCATTATTGTGAACTGTGGGCGCAATTTTGGAAAAGTGGAGGAATTAGCACACACTGAAGACATCTCCAATTTCCTAAATAACCCAAAACCGAACCTATCCAAACCCAAAATTTACATCAGTAAAAACGAATTCACCCATTCTGAATTTCAAGATGTGTGCCAGAAAGCTTCAAACTTCAAACTAATCAAAGCCATCCACTTTTTCAGCTTGCTTTCCACCGGGAATTTGGCCTGGATGCGAAGCAAAGGTGACGTCTGCGACATTGACAATTTCAAAATTTTTGACGATTTTCTAAACGAAAACGAATTTTGGTCTTGCGATGACAACAAAATTCGGTTAATTACGGCTGACCCCGGGTTGGGGAAAACCGAATTGGTGAAGAGTCTGAAAAACAAGTGTGCGTCTGAGTATCTGACGGTGACGGTTAGCCCCAAGGACGTTAACACGTTTTTCCAAAATTTAGAACCGGGTCAAACCGATTTAACAAATTCGTTTCAGAGGTACATTTTCAACAAAAAATTCGCTTGTTGTAGACAGATGGATCGTGAGTTTTTCAAAATATGTTTAGATCGGAAGCTCGTGGTTTACATTTGGGATGGTCTGGATGAAATTTTGGGTAAACATTTGGGTGGTCTTTCAAAGGTAATTGTCACACTTTCGGAAATCGGGTTCATCCAGTGGATTACCAGTAGGCAGCACTTGAGATCTTTTCTGGAGAACGAGTTTAGCGTGGTGTCGGTTAGTATAAGCCAGTTTAGTGAGTCGGAGCAGGAAGACTACATTAGAAAGCGTCTGGTGTCTTTCATTCCAGAACAAACCATAGAAGCGACTATTAAAAATATCAAAACCACGTTTGCCTTTATCAAACATGAAGATATTTTAGGGATTCCGCTTCAGATATTCCTGTTGACGGAAATAGTTCGTCAGAACAACACCAAACTGAACCACGAGTTGTTCACCAACGAATTTCTACTAACCGATTTATACCACTACTTTATCCAGCAAAAGTTTGCCATTTTCTATAGAAACGAGGTCCCTGAAGACCAGCAGAAACCTTTTCTGAAACGTCTATTCTCAGATAAAACCAACGAAACACTCAGACACTACGAGAAACTCGCACTCAAGGTGATTTTCCCTGAAGACACTCTAGACCAATTAAACATTGACTGCCGAAGTAGTGCCAACGTGTTTGAAGATCCTCCTGTAGGCCTTATCACCAAATTCGAAAACAACATGCCCCAGTTCCTCCACGTTTCTTTCGCCGAATATTTCGTCGCTTCGTACTTTTCCAAAAATTTTGACCACATCCCTTTTGACACATTCTTCAGCGACAAATACACCAACGTGCGTTTTTTCTTCGACTTATTGTTGGCCAAGGACTCCCCAGCTCATATTGCAGTCCTTTATAAAAAATTCGAGCTTCTGGAAACCCTCGACGAGGAAAAATTAACACGGAAGGACGCAGCTGGACGAAGCGCCTTGCATCTGATATGCTCGTATGGGCAGAAACATCCTCGATTGGAAGTGGTGCAAGATGGCGGACGCTTTTTGATCCCAGACGAAAAGACTTTTAATAGGATTGACACCCCGGAGTATTTTAATGCGGTGATGTTTTTGTTGGAGAAGTGTGACATTTCAGAGGAGGATACTCTCATGGAAATGACGCCATTACTGTACGCCCGAGAAAGTGAGAGTTTGGGTGCGGAAATGAAGATATTACAGAGGCAGGAACTTTCTTTGAAGCAGACGCATAACAAGCTTGACTCAATGAATATTTTGTATTACTCAGTTTTGCGTGGGTGTGATGATCTCCTCCAAGTATTTTTTTCCAAAGAAAAAGGTTCGATTAGTGAGGATTTTGCACATCGGCTTTTCATGGTAGCGTGTGAAAAAGGGTATGACAAGATCGTCGAGTACTTGGTGACCTATGGAGTAGAAGTCAACCGGTGTGATAAAGACGGTCGCACCCCTCTCCATGTAGCTTCTTGGAACGGTCACGAAAAAACAGTTCAATGCTTAGTAACACTGGGAGCTGAAGTCGACCTTTGTAACGAAGAGGGCAGGACGCCACTTTACCTTGCGGCTCGCGACGGCCACAAAAGAACCGTGGAGGTGTTAGTGAAATCTGGAGCGGCAGTAAATCGTGCTGATAATTATGGCAGGACGCCACTCCTCCCGGCTGCGCTCCGCGGCTATTTAAATACTGTGAGATGTTTGGTAAAATCCGGGGCCGAAATATCAAAACCTGATATGTATGGTCGGGTGCCACTTTACGTAGCTGCGGAATACGGGCACGAAAGGGTTGTTCGGTACTTAGTCAAACTAGGGGCAGATGTTAATGGTAGAGACAACTATGACCACACCGCTCTCTACGCGGCTGCTGAAAACGGCCACGTAGAAAATGTTCGGTTTTTGCTGAAATCAGGGGCTGTGGTTGATAGTGCTAGTAATTATGGGCGGACCCCGCTCCAGCAGGCGGCTTGTCATGGGCACCAGGAAGTTGTGGAGTGGTTGGTGAGATTCGGGGGTGAGATAAACCACCGTGATAGGTATGGTCGGACGCCATTTTACGTAGCTTCTGAGTATGGCCAGGAGAGAACTGTTCGGTATTTAGTGGAACTGGGGGCAGATGTTGATGGTAAGGATAATTATGACCAGACAGCTATTTACGCAGCAGCTGAAAACGGCCACGAAGGGAATGTTCGCTGTTTGGTGGAGTGGGGGGCCACTATTGACTCTCCTAGTGATTTCAGCCGGACACCTCTTCAACAGGCTGCTTATAACGGTCACCTCACCATCGTTGAATATCTAGTTCTACTAGGGGCCGAAATCAATCACGCTGATCAAATAGGCCGGACGCCACTTTACGTTGCGTCAGAGTACGGCCGGGAACCCACCGTGGAATATTTAGTGGCATCCGGGGCAAGTGTTAACACCAAAGACAAAATCGCCCAGACACCTCTTTTCGCAGCTTGTGAGAACGGCCACAAAAAAATCGTCCAGTTTTTAGTCAAATCGGGTGCAGAAGTCAATGGCGCCAACCAAAATGGCCGTATGCCACTCTACATAGCTTCGCGTAACGGCCACGAACAAACCATTGAAGTGTTGCTGAAACTATGCCCAGAAATCAATCGTGCGGATAACTATGGTCGAACATCACTCCTGATAGCTTCACACCAAGGCCACGAAAAAGCTGTTCGGTGTCTGGTTAAGTACGGAGCTGATGTTAATTACGCTGATATGTATGGTCGGACGCCACTTTATGTGGCGTCGGAGTATGGTTTTGAAAAAATCGTTCGGTTTCTGGTCAAATCCGGAGCGGATGTTAATTTTAGGGACAAGTTTGAGCAGACACCACTTTATGGAGCTTCTGAGAAGGGCCGCAAAAAGGTGGTGGAGTGTTTAGTGGAATTGGGGGCTGATGTTAATGCCAGGTATAGATCCGGTCAGACATTGGAGCAGGTGGCTTCTGACAATGGCCACCAAGAAGTTGTTGAAATGTTGGTGAGGTACAGAGAGAGCAGTAATAGAGGGTGAACAAAGCCTTAACTTTTCACAATGGAGAAAGACAAAACATCGAATATTTTATTATTTGCCAAGAGTGACTTAATGTGGCTTCCGTTTGAAAGATCTACCACTTGCAAACTCTACCAACAACTTGTTGACCAAAGTTTTGTTGAAACATTATTCGAAACAAATTTGCATCAAATTGGACATTATCAACAACCAGTTCTAGATTTTCCATAACACTATTCGGATGAAAGATCATAATTTTGTTGCACATAATCACCTTTGCTTCGTCTTCACGCCCTAATATTTTAAAATGTCAAAAGTGAACAAAGAGTTTTACTTTAAGGGGTGCCAATTTTAGCAGTTGATGAAACTCCAGACCACAGGTCCGTAAGGCGCTGTACCCTGCTGTTCCGCTTATTTACATGTACTTGTGAGCATTTTTACAACAGGAAAAAATATAAGAAAACCTTAAGTTATTGTCCCGATTAATAATATAAATGTGTATTTAAATAATGTAGTAAGCTTGTAACATTTTTCTCAATTTTCAATGTTTTTTGAACCACTATTCAGCTTTATTTACACAATTTTTGCTTTGACCAGAAGCAATATCGACTGGTTTTCCAATAGTACCAATGCAGGTATAATCGGCGTAAAACATTACATCAGCTTGGGGCATACAATTTGGAAGATTATTATGAATAATAAAAGTAATAGTGGCCCAAGAATGGATCCTTGCGAACTCCATAGTTAATGCACGAAAACTCTAAAAACTTGGATTACTATTTGAGTTTTATTTTTTATGTAACTCATGATGTTTGTAAAAGTATAGTGGTGGAAATACCTCAGGTAAAACTTTTTCTCCTTCTATCTTGTGCACTTTGTGTGATTCAAAAAATTACCAAATTTTGAGTACGTCGTTGAAATTTGATGTCAAAATTTGAAATTTGTCATCACAATTATTTATCAAACAGAATCCTTGGTTTATTTAACGCTTTACTCGGTTTTACTACTGTTATAATAAATGTATTAGACTATTTAGAAAGAAACCATGATGTTGTGTAGTTTAAGAAAAAAATAAAAACAGAACTGGTGGCCGAAATGTTCAAAATTTCTGAAATATTGAAGACCAAGTATATGAAATTCTGCCACTACATATTGAAAGTTAGATGAGATAAGATATCTAGACAAGTATGATATGATATAAAAAAGAAGTTGGCCGCATTATTTTAATTATCATTTATTTATCGTCATTATCTGATGCGAAAACTGTTTCGTGTTTTCGTTGTAGGTGTAGTGTGATTACAGAAAATATTTTTGTTGTTACATATATTTAAAATTTCCGCCACAAACATCCAACCACAGGTAAGTAAAATTAATATAAGTAGTTATCAACATTATGGTGAATTCCTTCTTTCATACGAAATAGCGCATTTTGCATCCACACGTGTATTCATTTCGCACGACCATGAAAATTTACACTAGCAGGCAATTATCACCACCAGTCAAAGTGCGAAATGGATACTTTATCCGTTTATTCTAAAAATTTAGACATACAACATTATTATTATTATTCATAGTAAACGATAACTCGATAATGTTTATCATTGTTTGTTTAAAATAAAATGTTAAAGATAACAACGATTGAATTGATATCTTAGATTATATGTTAAATTCTGTGTAAAAATGAGAAATATTTTTATTCTGTGATCTTTGCGTTTTCTGTTTTTTTGTTGAACAATATCTTTTCCATTAAATTTTTTTCTTTCACCACTACTTTTACTTTTTGTAATCATAGTGTTATCTTTCTTCACTTTTTTCTTCTTCTTGTTCCTCTTCTTCTTCTTCTTCTTGTCTTCTCACTCGCTTGTTTCTTAGTTTAAACTAAATTCTTTACCTTTCTTATCGGTTCCTCTTATTTCTCGACGTTTCTATTTTTCACATCTCCGATATGTCTATTCTCCAATTTTTCGAAATTTTAAATTCTACAATTTTTCAGTTTTACGATTTTTTAATTTTTCGATTACTTGACATCTCAGATTTACGATTTTTAAAATAATTCGACATTTTGATTTATAGTTTCTCGATTTTTCAAGTTGCCGTTTCCTCAATTTTTCAACACTTCAGTTATTCAATTTCTGGATTTTTCAATTCTTCAATTTTTCGATTTTTCAGGTTTTTGATTTTTCAATTTTTCGATTTTTTGACTTTTTGATTTCTCGATTTTTTAATTTTTCGATGTTTCCGATTTGGTATTTTTCAATTTTTCAATTCTTCAATTTTCCTTGCATTTTGCATTTTTTGGAGATATCAGTTTGAGGATTTTTCAGTATTTCAGTCCTTTAATTTTCCGATTTTCTGGCTTTTCGACTTTTCGAAGTCTTTTTTTACTTTTTCGATTATTTATTCGATTTCACGATTTTTCAGTTTGTTGTTATTTTAATTTTTCAGTTTTTGAAATTTTAGAATTTTCGAGATGTCGATTCCTCGATTTTCCAGTTTTTCTATTTTTCAAATTTTTTAATTTTAGATTTTTCAGGATTTTGATATTTTTATTTCTCCCTCTTTCGATTCGTCAATTTTTCGGTATTTAAATTTTTCGATTTTCCAGTTTTTCCATTTCTCTAACTTTTGAGGTTACGATTTCCCGATGTTTCAATTTATGAATTTTTCGATGTTTTGATTTTTCGATTATACGATTTCTGAGTTTTTAAATTTTTTTCGATATTTCAACTTTTCCGAATTTTTATTTTGCGATTATACATTTTTTCGATGTTCCAAAGTGTCAGTTTTTAGATTTCCAATTTTTCGTGACAGCAGTTTTGAAATTTATCGATTTTCCAATTTTTCATTTTTTCCGGTTTTTTAAATCTTTGATGTTCGATTTCCGGTTTTTCGATTTTGTGACATTTCGATTTTTCAATTTTCCTATTTTTAAATTTTCTTGGTTTTTTGATCTATTGATTTCTCGATTTTTCAATTTTCGATATTTTAATTTTTCAATTGCTTTAAATTCTAGATTTTCCGACTTCAAAACGTGAAGTTCAATTTTTAGAGTTTTTAAATTTTTGATTTTTTGATTTTTGGATTTCTTGGCTTTTTAATTTTTCGATTTCGAAATTTTTCGATGCTTCCATTTTGGAATTTTTCAATTCTTCAATTCTTCATTTTTCATTTTCTATTTTCCAATTTTTCGATGCTTCCATTCTGGAATTTTTCAATTCTTCAATTCTTCATTTTTCATTTTCCATTTTCCAATTTTTCGATGTTTCCGATTTGGTATTTTTCAATTTTTCAATTCTTCAATTTTCCTTGCATTTTCCATTTTTTGGAGATATCAGTTTGAGGATTTTTCAGTATTTCAGTCCTTTAATTTTCCGATTTTCTGGCTTTTCGACTTTTCGAAGTCTTTTTTTACTTTTTCGATTATTTATTCGATTTCACGATTTTTCAGTTTGTTGTTATTTTAATTTTTCAGTTTTTAAAATTTTAGAATTTTCGAGATGTCGATTCCTCGATTTTCCAGTTTTTCCATTTTTCAAATTTTTTAATTTTAGATTTTTCAGGATTTTGATATTTTTATTTCTCCCTCTTTCGATTCGTCAATTTTTCGGTATTTAAATTTTTCGATTTTCCAGTTTTTCCATTTCTCTAACTTATGAGGTTACGATTTCCCGATGTTTCAGTTTATGAATTTTTCGATGTTTTGATTTTTCGATTATACGATTTCTGAGTTTTTAAAATTTTTCGATATTTCAACTTTTCCGAATTTTTATTTTGCGATTATACATTTTTTCGATGTTCCAAAGTGTCAGTTTTTAGATTTCCAATTTTTGCGTGATTGCAGTTTTGAAATTTATCAATTTTCCGATTTTTCATTTTTTGCGGTTTTTTAAATTTTTGATGTTCGATTTCCGGTTTTTAAATTTTTAATTTTTCGATTTCGAAATTTTTCGATGTTTCCATTTTGGAATTTTTCAATTTTTCAATTCTTCATTTTTCATTTCCCATTTTCCAATTCTTCGATATATCATTTTTGGGATTTTTCAATATTTCGATTCTTCAGTTTTCCAATTTTTCGTCTTTTCGATTTTTCGAATCGTCGATTATTTACTTTTTCGATTTTAATTTTTCCATTGTTAAATTTTAGATTTTCAGGATTTCGATTTCACGATTTTTCATGTAAAAAATTGGTCTAAAGAGTTTAGACAGTACTTCCCTCGCTGTCGGAAACTTGACGACTGCATGCCTATTGTGTTTTTTTTCTCATTACATTTTTGTAGTGGGAATTTAAAAAAAAATTGCGATGACGTCATCAACATTTTTGCAAGGACACGTATATCAGTTGGGATAGATGTAGTGTAATACTAAGAATAAAATTATTATATTCTCAAATTTTCGGGAAAATGAATTGGGTCGTTTGAATATTGATTTGTAATAATCAATAAAATAACGAAACAATTTACTCACGTATACCTACGTATCAGAGGCAACTGAAAATCGTGTATGTATAAACATTGTTAATTTAAGATGACAGGCGTAACAGCATACGTGAGAGCCAAACACAGAAACTGTAAACAAAACGACCGTCGGTTTTATTGCTTCGACTTCCGCTTATTATATAAAACATTGGGTTTTATTTTAATTCTTGACGGTGAAATTCACAATTGGTTGATTATAAACATGTCTATTTCACATTCGCGGAATCAAGTGAACGCATAAAACAAATGCAGGTCTGTAATGTTAAAGTCGATGTAAATAAGCGTGCTACCCTTATGTTTCAACCGAGTTTTTCCTTTAACAAATTTTGTGTCTACCAAATTGGGTTGGTTGGGGTGTAATACTAATAATAAGTGTTGCCTTTAATTTAATCAATAAAATAAATTGACTTCATTAATTTTTTTGAACCACCTCTTAAGAAAATCTAAAAAATATGAATGGAATGATAAATCACAAGTACAAACTCATCGTATTTTTTGCATTTTAGATAGGATTTATTCAGCAAAATTTAAGGGTGACGTCATCAATTTTTTTAGGAGGGATGAACAAATACATTTTGAACAAAAGTTTACCATGCTTATAATAACTTTAAAATATTCCCAAGATTTCAAAGCATTCGGTTTTGTAATTCCTGATTAAATCGATAAAATAAATTCACGCCTTCATTAATTTTTTTGAGTCACCCTGCATATGCAAATCCAAAAATATGAATGGAATGATAAATCACAAGTACAGACTCATCATATTTTGTACATTTTAGATACGATTTATTCGGAAAACTTTTGAGCTGACGTCATCAGTTTTTTGTAGAAGATAACCAAATATATTTTGACTAAAAATTTATTATGCTCTTTATAACCTTAAAACATCTGCAAGATTTCAAAGCATTCGGTTTTGTAGTTCCTGATTAAATCAATAAAATAAATTTACGCATTCATTAATTTTTTTGAGTCACTCTGTATATGCAAATCCAAAAAATATGAATGGAGTGATAAATGACAAGTACAGGCTCATCATATTTTGTACATTTTAGATATGATTTATTCGGCAAACTTTCGAGCTGAC